TTTAATTGTACAATATCGAGAGCATCTTTGGACATCCGCCCTGGCCCTTTAACAGCCGGCTCCCTTCTGCTGCCTCACCAGCTAGACCTGCTTGAAAACGGAAACAAAACAGCAGCAATCTTGAAAGAATAAGGCCCCTACTTGGAGGGCCCTTCCAAAATAAAGCCTCAAATAGCCTCCCCCCAGACTGCCATTTGGCAATCTGAAAAAGAAAGAAAGAAAAAAGAATTCCACCCCACCACTACCCCGCAAAATGGTTTTCCATTAAACAGGGATAGCGTGTTCTGCTGTGCTGAATTACTTCCTGTTCTTATTTTGTGGGTAATTTTTTCTGTATCAAATATCCTTTTGGTTGTGTATCTTTTTCACTTTTTCTTGTACTAAAACTAAAGCATGATCTGTATTTTTTTACATCCCCCCAGTTGACAATGTACAGCCCTCGGTTAGAGACGTTGCCCTGCTGAAATGTACTGTGGTCGTGTAGCCCGAGCCATCTGCTCATTGTACGCTGCTTTTGTTCTGTTGCCCTTCCGAAGCATGGTGGGCCCAGCCTTTTTTTTTTTTTTTTTTTTTTTTTTTGGTATCGTGTGCATGACGACATTGTTACACACAGAATCCACTAATACTAATATACAATCTCTCAATAAAGAACTAGTTTTCCTATATTAACCTAGTGTGCTTTTTCTCTTGCTGTTTTCCCATTTATTGTTGTATCCTGCTGTTTAGATTTTCCCCTTGCTTTTCTATCCCACCCTCACCCACCCCACCTCCCATTGTAAGATTCGAGTGAATGCCTTTTCTTTCTTCCTTTATTTTTCTTTTCTTTCTTTTCTCTTTTGTGGTACAGATATGGTGACTTGAAGCCTTTCTAGTCCATATCTTTTTACAGTAGAAGTCTGGGGTGAGGGGAGAGGGTTACTTGGCCTGTCACAATGCAACAGCTCAACTGCATAGAGAGAACCCCTAATTCTGGCCACCTGTGCACCCAACAGCCTCCCCATTTCATCCTGATTTCCACGTTACATGGATATGGGTCTATGGTGCCGTGAGAAAAGGGATACTGTTCTTAACTAGCAACCTTGTAGCATTTCAGACTCACCTGAACAACCAACCCATTTTCAGCTGTGTTTTTACTGTTTCATTGATTCACTGTCCTTTTAAATAATGCCGGGACTGATATGTTACATGACATTGAAGCCATCATCTGGAATTTTAAGGTACCCTTGTCTGTCTGTATATTTAAATTCTTGGGATCTGCAAGGTCTTTTGATTGAGATCCTGGATAGGTTTGAAACACAGATTCAAGCCAGCCCTGCATCCTACTTTAGGGCCCACAGCAGAATGAGGGCCTGGCCTGGTCTTTCCGCCTGAACCAGTTCAAGCTGATTACACTGCCTACTGCCCTGACAGCTGCTGCATCAGTGGCCTTAGGGCCTTCAAGAGAAAGCAAACCTGTCTCTGCCATTGCCTTAGGGGAGAGCATTGCATATGGGATAGGGAAACAAGGGTGGGAAGTCAGGATCCATTCTCAAATTGAATTGGAGAAAGAGCCCTTCAAATGTGCCAGATACCAACCCCCTGTCCCGCAACCCCGTCCACCAAAACTACCATTGAGAAACCAGTGGAGAGGTATTTTTTCCTCAGAATGGAATGCAAATTCAAGCATTGGTCAATTACACCTCTTCAGTTTCATCCTAGAACAAGACTTGCCAAATGGGGCATTTTAGACTGGAGGGAATCAGCTGGTTAAAGAACTTCACAATTCGTTCAAAGGGTTATCATTTTGGAGCCTCTTCTACTTTGGCTGTGGTGCCTGCTCTTTGCTCCTCTGGGCTGTCTCCCAGGCTTGCCTCTGCCCATGTTCCTCCCCTGAGCAGGTGCACCCCTGCCTGACCACAGTGCATCTTTGCTGCTTTTGTGGCTTTATGTGACTGTCTTCTTCCCCCATGACTGCTCTCTCTGCTCTGGCCCTTTGTTCTCCTGCTCTGCCCAGCCAGAGTGGGAAAGCTGAGCTGATTTACTGCGACACATGGACACACATGGATCTTCCCAGCGGAGACTCGGACTGTATTTGCATGAGTGCAGATATCCTTGTCTACAAGACTAGTCAGTCCTTCCAGGGTTTCATTTGTTTATTTCTTCTTCCTCTTCTTTTTGGTTTACCTGAAACAACTTTTAATTTTGCTTTTAGTTTGAAAAAGCAAAATAAAACATCCCCCAAAACCAGCTTCAAAATAATGGAACCCCAAATTAATAGGATCACCTTCATTTTATTCTAAGAGCAGACGTTCATTAGACTCCCATTAACCAACACTAAGATTTTATTTTTCCAAATTAGTGTTAAGTACAACCAGTCCTTGTGGTCCAAAAGTGATTTATGGACAACGCATACTTATTCATTAATGCTATGTAAACTTGTTCTCACTTTGAACCAACCCCTACTTGAAACAAATTCTCCTTCACAATCACACTAAAATAAGGCTAAATAAGAACCATTTGCACTTGTTTTGACTTACCTACAAACTCTACTTATAGACACCCTTAAGGCAGGGATCTCATTTGTAACCTGGGAACTGTTGGTTTGTCAGAATTGTTTGAGCAATTGATTACATTTTGAGGATGGTTTGGTAACTAATATATAGAAAGCTCTTGAATTAATGGGAAGTTATGTTTAACAATTTATCAAGTGCATATGTGTTTTGACCCAGGTTGTTAGAACTGAACACATGCATATTGTTGTTAAGTGCCATCGAGTTCGTTTTGACTCATAGCGACCCTGTATAGAGTTTCCTAGTAGCAACTGACGGGTTTGAACTGCCAACCTTGTGGCTCGCTGTCCAGTGCTGATCCTACAGTGCCACATCAGGAGTACGCATATACATACATAATGTTGTTGTAAGTGCCGTCGAGTTGGTTCCAACCCATAGCGACCCTGTATAAGGTTTCTGAGGAGCAGCTGGTAAGCTTGAAACACCGACCTTGCTGTTTAAGCCGACTTTGCAGTCCCCCACATTAACTCACAGCGCCACACCAGGACTCTACACGTACATGTTAAGGAGACCTTTTTCCTTGGACTTTTCCCAATAATCACTAAAGCATTGTACTTTATATTACTCTCTAAACCATCTGATGCAAATCCATTTTAATAACTTTAACTCCAGGATTTTGGGAAAGCCATCTGTTAAGTAGATCCCATGCCATCGACTTTGAAATAAGATGGAACACAGCTTTTGTTGACAGGTCTTGTTTTTGAAGGAAAGAACTCTCGCGAAACCAGCACCAGATAAGGCTTCCTTAGTTCATTCGTTTTCTGAAGTAATAGTTTTCCACAAACCAGCATCTAATTTTAATCATCCAGAGTTAGAGGAAAAGGCTGCCAAGGATCTTGACACCGTAATATGCAGAGGACAGAGTCTGGGCAAACTCTCCATTTGCATTTTGTTTACTTCCTGCCCACCCTTCTCCCATGCTCCCCATTTTAAAATAAGTGCATTGCTGTGTTGCATTGGCAGGTTTAATGGTTTTCTAGGCGAAGGAAGCATTGGCTCTGTGCTTCATCCAATACAGTGTGGGACCCCTTTCCTTGGGTGCAGGTCAGGGGAATAGCAGACCCTGCACCCTGATTTAGGGTGTGGCCTTGGTTCTCTGACCATAGTCAGGTAAATGTGCAAGATACTTGTGCCTTCTTTTCTCTAAGGATATAAATAGCTTTGGCCAATTCCTGGCTTCATATAGTTCTGACTGTTAATTCATATTTATTAGTTTCTGGTCTGGCTTAGCTATAGATGTATTTCCAAGAGAATTGAGAGGCAGGGGATTAAAATTAGAGAATTAAAAACAAACACACAGCACCCTGTAGCTAAACCACTCACAATGCTGGTACTTTCTTTTATTCATTCATTCATTCATTCATTCACTCATTCACTCCCTCACTTGTCTGTTCATTTAGTTAGTTAGTGTTTATTGAATACCATCTTGGGGCCCAGGATTGTACTAAAGGAGATACAAGAGAAATGTCAGGCCTAATCTCCTCTCCTGAGGCTCTTGCTGAGACTGGGAGAGAAATGCTGAGGAGGAAGATGCTGTGGGTCTACCCTATTCAATGCCAAAGCATCCAGGTGAATGGCGTAGAGTCCTGACCGGTGATGTAGAAAGCCTCGGAGCAGTCTGGGGGTCCAGTCCTAGCCTCCCCCTGACCTGAAGGGATGGCCCTAGGCCACTGGGCTGAACACCAGCTGAACAGTGGCCAGCAAAAAACCCAAACTTTCATCATAAAGTAGGTGTCTAGGACATGCTGGAGGCCTGGTGTGGCGCTGTGGGCTAATGCGCTGTACTACAAAGTCAGTTTGAACCACAAAGTTGGTGGTTCAAGCTCACCAGGTGCTCCTTAGAAACTTTATACAGAGTCGCTATGGGTCAGAACCGACTCGGCTCAGGAACAACAGGACATGCTAGATGCCTATTCTTCCCTCTCACAGTAGCAAGAGTTTACTGATCCAAGAGATCAGCCAAAGTCAGAGACAACCTTTCTGAGGTGGTAGGATTGAGATGTGCTTCAAAAGCTGGTATGGATAGGAGGTGAGGACAAAAATGGGAACTGCAGGAGGGCTGTGGGGACCGAGTGTGACTCCAGCTAAGGTCAATGGCTCTGCTGATTTGGTAAGAACAGGACATACTGTGAGAAGGTGTGTGTGTGTGTTGTGCACGCTCAAGAACCTGTTGCCTCACATGGCATTGGAGGCACCAGGTCATTGGCCTATATGTGACTGGCTCTCCCTAGAGCACAGCTCCAGAAGTTATGTAGCACCAAGTCTGGCCAATTTGGGTGAAGAAAGTTTTTAAAAGCTGTTGGAAGCCCCAGCAGAGATTAGACGTGAGCCTTCAGCATTGGGAACTTTCTGGGGAGAGTGTCGTTGAAACAACTTCTGCTGACCGCTGATGACCTGAGTGAGATTAGGAGTGGAGGCAAGGGAGGAGGCCATGGCAGGATTCAAGTGGGGATGGAGGCCTGGACCGGGGTGCTGGAGGATGGGAGGAGGCATGTGAGGCCTTACCACGAGGGAGACAGTGGGGAGGAGGCCGAGGGCAGGGAGGTCTCTCAGTGCCTGGGAGGATGTAAGATGACAAAGACCAACAGGGAACATGGGGGAACAGCAGTTTAGGGGAGACATGAATTCAGGGTTTAGGTGTACATACAAAATTTGAGATGCTGAAAGTCAGAGGGTCGGGAGCTATTGTTATGTCCTTGGAGGCAGAGATTCTAGTATTTTAAAATATAGATTACTAATTAGGGTGGGACACTTACTTTAATAACAAAAGTTCTTTCTTACTTACATAACTCCCTCCTTAAAAATCTGTCTTTGTGCCCAGACCTCCCTTACTTGATGATTCACACATAGCATTTGACTCTTGAAGAAACCTCTTAAACACTAGCTCCCTGGACACTGGACCACAGTGACTCTGACATCACCTTTGGATCAGATGGTACCTAACTGAGCCCTTTGTGAGTGAAGCAACCCCTGAGGCAGGCAGACAACAGCAGTGTTGTTGCCCTGCAGGGTGCCAAAAGGCCAGGTTCAAACTCACCAGCTGCTCCTCAGAAACCCTATACAGGGTCTATACAGGGTCGCTATGAGTTGGAACTAACTTGACAGCACTTTACAACAGCCATAACCAGGAGAGAACGTGGGACTGGAGGGGGCTGCTAAACACCAGACAGGGGCATAAAGGGCAGACAGAGGTGTGGTAATGAGGGGCTAGGGCCAGGATGAAAAGTGGGACCTGTCTTCAGAGAGCCCATTTCTAAGCTCACTCTGTTCTGTGACCTCATTTCCTCCTAGGCACTGCTGAAATAATTGGGGACCAGAGAGGAAACTGAGGCCTAGAAAGGCAAAACCCTTTGCACCCCCTCTCCCTGCCTCTCCCCCAACCAGTAAATGACTAAGTAGAACTAGACCACTCAGGTGTCCGGGTACCCCTTTATCAGCCCCCATACATAATCCCAGCTTTGCCTCTCTAAGTGGGGGAGCCATGTGGTCTTCTCACGCCGACCAAGCTACGAGGGGGTCTAAGTCCCTAACACTGAACCCCGCACCTTGCAGAAGGGACTGTGAGGGACAGGAAACCCCTGTCAGGAAGTGAACCTGACACCTTCAGACTGTCTCAGGAGACTCAGGGAGGTGAAGCTTTGCTCCTCAATGGTGGGCACATCCTGTGTTATTTTTTTCTCAAGATCACTTTGATGCCTTCATCAATGATGTCTGTGTTATATCATGGAAATAATAATCACATTTTGGAACACTGAGAAAAGAGACAAAAGTAAAAATAATCTAGCCCCGTGATCATGTTGGTGAAATGCCTTTGGGATTATCCACGTGGGTTTTTCTTTCTTTCTTTTTTTTGTAGCTCTGTAAACAAAGTGTTCATGCTACTTTACATCCTCCATTGTTGAGCTAACATTGATTGTATCACAAGTGTGTTCACATTTTGCTATACTGTTTTCACAAGCATACCTCTTAGAGGCTGCATAGTATTCCAGTGATTGGCAGCTAGACGCAAAGTTTGATGGATTCTGATAGACTTACACTGCTAAGGGCTGTAGGGTCAGTCCACGCTGGCCGCCAGTTCACCAGTTCTCTGGGCTGCTGTTTATTAGCAAGTAAGGAGGAGATGGTTAGTAGAACGGGTCTTACATCCCTCTCCAAGAGTTTCTGCCACCATTGTCCCCTTCCCCATAGACAGATGTGTATGTAGAATCAGATTCCATGGAGATTAGGGAAGGAATAAAATTTGGATAAACTGTCCCAAGACCTGGTTCTGGTCCTTGCTCTGTCACAGTCTTCTTTTGTGATCTTGAACGAGGCAGCCTTCACCAAGTTTCAGTTCCCTGTTCCATCAAATGGGGACAGTGTGCCCATTGTTTCTGCCCTACGGGACTTGCCATGTGAAATAACACATATGAAATAAACCAGGAAGCCAGTAAAGGCAGCAGTAGTAAGGACTCCTAGCACTGGGACACTGGACTCAGGCAGGTCATGCTGCATAGTTGGAAGAGGCCTGGCCTGCTTCCCTGAGACCTGGCTTCGAGTCTTGCTCTTAATAACACATGAGTGACGTTTGGGCACGTCTGACTACTGTGTCTTCCCGTCCTCATCTGCCAAGGGAGGTAATTGGCCTAATTGCCCCTTCCTACTCTAAAAAACTGTGATTTCCTCCCAGTGATGATATCTTCCATTTCCATTGCCTTTGGGCTTTTCATGGAGACAGTAGCTGCCCGCCCCTTAGTGTTCAGTAGACACGTGGCCATTCTGTGTTGTGTGGCAGGTGGGAAGATAGCTTATGGCAGGGGGTAAGTCAGTGAGGCCCAGAGCTGACCCAAGCTTAGGGTGGCTCGGGCTGTTCAGGTTGCATCTCAGCAGAAAGTCTCCCCCAACACTATTCTGTCCTAATGTTCCTTTGAGCACGCCCCCGGGGGGGGGACCACTGTTGGCCATTGCCAGTGGGAGGGGGTCAGAGGGGAGAACCCTTCAGCAGTGTGAAGACAGTCACCCAGGTGGTGGCAGGTCCCCAGATCCCACGCTTTACCACTCCCCCTGCGGCCTTAGTGAGGAAGAAGTGTCCTCAGCCTGCAGCAGCCTGCCTGGAGAGGGGGTGGAGGAGCCTGCTCATGCTCAGCAGGGAGGAAGTGAGAATCCAGCCAGCACCTGTCTCAAGGAAGGGCAGGAAGCTAGGGAACAGCTGCTTCTCCCCCTCTGGGGCTGAGAGTGGGAGGGCATCGGGTGGAGGCCTCTCCAAATCCTCACCCCCAAGCACACATGCCGCCTGCTTTGCTCCAGCTCCTATTCTCCACTGCCAGGGTCCCATCATGGCTCAGGAAGCCCCCTCTGCTGCCTGTTTCCAGTATCTTCCACCTCCTGCTCTCTAACTCTGTGGAGCTAATGGGTTCATGTCCCTCCCCCACCCCATCCCACCCCTTAAGATAGGGGTCCCTCAAAGCCATTCCTCTCAGGGTTGAGGTAAGAATAGACTGAAGGGAAGGGCCTCAGAGTCAGTCCACCATCCACCCCGTTCCCCTATGACCCATGGCTCTGCTGACAAGAGCTATAAAGCCAACTCTGAGGAAGGTGAGGTAGTGTTGGGGAAGGCTTCCCAACACTAACAACCACATTTTAGCTCAGCTCCTGGTGTGGCACTGTACGGCAAGCATTGGGCTACGAATCAAAAGGTCGGCAGTTCAAACCCACCAGATGCTCCTTGGAAACCCTATACAGGGTCACTATAGGTCAGAATGGACTCGGCGGCACTTTAACAACAACACTGTGTACCCAACTCTATGCGAAGGGTGGGGGAAAAGAGGGGAAGCTGGGATAGAACCTACTCTCTCGTCAGCCAACACTCCCCAGAGGCCTCTGGACACCAGGGTGCAGAGGTGTGGCCCCACTTTTGAGGACTCACATCACTCAGGGCTTAGGTGGACACCAGGGTGTGAAGGCATGGCCCCACTTTTGAGGACGCACATGGCTCAGACTCCCCTTGCCTGAGGTGGGACTTCGGTGGCCACAGGGCTGTGGGTCTAGAGGACAGGAGTGAAAGGGCTGTTGGAAACCCAGGGAAAAAGTGTGAGTCTGACCCCAGGAGGAATGGGGTTCCTAGAGGGGAAGGGATCAAGTGGAGAAAGACCATCAGCTTCACCTGACCCAACCATTAAGGTGAGAGTATGATCGGGAAGAGGCCAGTGGGGTTGTGGCTTTTTGCTCTGTCCGCACTCCATCCTGAGAGGCCCCCACAAGGGCAAGCTTCCCCCATGTGCAAGGTGAGGGAACAGAAGGGTAGGCAGGAAGAGGGGAGGTGGGAGGCAGGTATAGAGCTGGCTTCTGGAATACTGCCCCTCCCTTCTCAAAGGCATCGTTCATCTCTCACCTGGGTGTCACTAAGCCTGTGCCTGCTGTCTGCAGTGACCTGTGACCAGCAAGCCCAGGGTGGTGCCCTGCCCTCTGGAGAACCCATACTCTAGGGGAGGCAGACTCAGTGAAACCTGTGAGAGCCAGACCGGACGGGACTGCCTTGTTTTTCTGGGTCTCACAAGTCGTCTGTCTTTGAGAGGGTTCAGTCCTACCACTTTTTCATTGTTTTGTTGTTGTTGTTATGTGCCATGGAGTCGGTTCCGACTCATAGCGACCCTGTACAAGGTTTCTGAGGCTGTAAATCTTTATGGGAGCAGAAAGCCTCATCTTTCTCCCGCTGAACAGCTGGTAGTTTTGAACTGCTGACCTTGTGGCTCGCAGCCCGATTCTTAACCACTACGCTACCAGAGCGGGGGAAATATTTGAGTTTTCCTCCTCTGATGGGTTTCTACCTTACATAGGTTCCCTGCTCATGCAGGTTTTACTGTATGTACAGAAGGCAGAACCCTCAGTCTGAGGACAAAAGAGGGCCCTGCCTGGCCACAGGATAAGCAATGCAATTCCCATTTGTACCTTTAAATTTTGGGAAAAGGTGATGATTCTATTCAACCCAGCAGGAACTCTTTTTTCTTTTTCTCGAGATAACATTCACGTAATACTTAGTGTTTAAAGGGTGCAATTCAGTGGCCTTTGTGTAGTCATCTAGTTCCAGAACATTTTTATCACCCCAAAAGAAAACCCTGGACCCACTGAGCAGTGACCCTCCATTACTCCCTGCCCCCAGCTCCGGGCAATCCCTAACTGCTTTTTAAACCTGAAACTCTTATGTAGCCAGTTGCAAAGTTCGCGTGAAATTTGGAATGAAAACGTGGAGCTTCAGTGATTTATTTGCATTCTCTGAGAGCTGGGCATTTCTGAAGGAGTCTGAGGAGTACATACGGGGAAAACCCCTCCTCTCCACAGAGCTGGAAACCCAAACTGTCAAGGGGCTAGGCTCGCAAAGCCAGCTCCCGAAAGCCTCTCTGGCCTGGACTCCAGGTCTCTTCACTCCAAGGGCCCGTGGGGACTTGGATCTTGACTCAGGATCCTTGAGAAGCTGCAATAGCTCCATCCAGGTGTAGTCATCAGGGATGCTTGGTGGGTGAGACATGAAGACAGTGTGGGGTGTAACTGGGCAGAAGGGCGAAGGGAGGACGCTTCACTATGGTCTCACTCGCTCTCCTGCTTTGAAGAGCCACAGCTGGAATTGGAGTGAGTCCAAGTGGGGAGCTCAAGACACAGAGAGGAACCCCATGAGCAGAGGTGTGAGGGAGGCCTTCCTGTGGGGTGGGGGATCCTTAGGCACAGGGTGGCACTCACTGAGGGCTTGTTTGATTTTGGGGCTTACTCCTGGGCAGGGCAAGGCTACCCTTGCTAGGGCTCCTTAAGAATGCAGAAGAAGGTTGGCTGCATCAGTTTTGGCATCAGGAAATCTTGGGCTCAACTCTTGGCTTCACCACCTGCTGTCTGGCTGACGTTGACCCTCTCTGACCTTCAGTGTCTTCATCTGGAGATCACTGATAGTAATCCCAATGCCATGGGGAGGTGAGGATGAAATGAGTTATGGAGCATCTGAACTATGAGGCACACAAACCCTGGCACATGCTTACAAGAGATGGCCTGCCCTCCCACAAACATATCCCTGCTTGTCGGAACTTGGGGGAGTTCACCGGGGGCACTGGGCAGGCAGGAAAGGGCTGAGCATATTTCTGTTTCAGTTTATTTGTGTAAACCGTTGCCTCCCCTTACCAAGAGTCTCCCTTGGACTTTGGGCAAGCTAGGCAGAGAGTCTACCTGGGGAGACCCCTGAGCACACCTGAAGTGGGTGAAAAACATACAACCTTGGCTACACAGAGGGCCAGGTTGGTGGGTCACACTGGTCAGAAAGTGTGGCCCAACCTGGAGACATCCGGACAGGGTTGGCACACGGATCAGGGAGAGGTCCCAGCAGCCCTAAGAAGCCAGGATGGTCTCTTGGAGGAGGTGGGGACTGGGGCTGTCCCCAAGGAGGGAGCAACCCTCTCACTGTGTAGGCCCAAATCTGATCCAAGAGGTAAATGTTCAGAGCCCTGTGGCTGTCACCCTTGTCTGATTTTTCCTTCTGGAGCATTGGGCCTTCTCATTTCATTGTCATCCCACCCATTCAGTCCTCTCTTCCCTCCACGTCCCCAGGCCCAGGCAGCTTCCCATCATTCTCTGCCTCTTCGCCTGCCCTCTTCTCCTTGGAGCACAGCCCTGCAGAAGGATGTGACTGAGAGGCAAGCTGGTGGTTTCACGACCTCCCTCTGCAGTGACTCTGACTCTGGCTCTGCCCTCTATAGCACAGGTGCTCCTGCTCACCCGCTGGGGGCTGCAGGGGGGCCACTTATCTGCAGGGCACATGACGCACCCTCCATGGCGCCTGGCACAGCACGGCACTGCTCTGATTGCTCTATGAAGTCAACTTGACAGCAACTGTTTGGTTAGTTGGTTGGAACCTACTTGGGAAGTGCCACCTACAAAATGCTCCCACCTGCTCCTGGGAGGATTGGATTTCAAAGTGGATCATGGAGTAGAAGAAAAATGTCTGTGAGCGGCAGTATTCTCATCTGTAAAATGGGAGTGACCTAGTCTCTCCCCTCCCCCAATAGAGTTACGATGAAGCTCCAATTTGTTCAGCTTTTTTCATAGATTTTCCCGAGCACCTGCCTTGACCAGGCACTGTGTCAGATGCCTGAGTCGGAGGACAACAGCCACATAACAACAGTAGCAGATGTTTACATAGCACTTACGAGACCTGGTGGCACAATGGTTAAGTGCTTAGCTGTTAACCAGAAGGTTGGTGGCTTGAATCCACTAGCAGCCCCACGGGAGAAAAGACTGGTGATCTGCTCTCATCAAGGTTACAGCTTAGGAAACCCTATGGGACAGTTGCCTGTTTTGTAGGCCCTATGACTCAACGGTCCACACAACAATGACAAGGAAGTGCTAAATCTGTGCTAGCCAATTTGCCTGTCCCCAAGAAGCTCGGTCTTGTGGTTAATGGACACATGAAGGTGAAAGTACAGTTCTGTGTGAGCCAGATACTCTCTGGCCTGGGAGACACCTCCTAGAAGGGGCCGCCTAGAGGAGGGAATGTCTCGGCCAAATCTTAAAGGACACATGGGGTGGCCAGGAGAAGGGGCAGGGTAGAATACTATAGGCAAAAGAACTGACAGAGTAAAGGGCAGGCTGAGAAACAGGGTTCAAGGGGTCCCAGGAAGTGGGAACTAAGGTTAGCTCCCACTAAGGATCTGGGGCCTTGTCTGCCTAAGCCACACAGCAGTGGTGCCCGTTAGTATTGCTGAGGGCCAACAGGCTTTCGCTGACAACAAAGTGCACACAGTCTACCCAGAGTCTCTGTGTATCCAGAGCTAAGGGCTGTGGGTGAGACCTGGGAGCTGCCCTTGACAAGCTGGAGACTGAGGTGGGAGTCTGGACAGATGATCAGGCAGGACCCTCCATCATCAGGGGGGGTCCTCTGAGCTATTGACCAGAAGAGGGTATGGGGTCTGCAAGACCTCCTTGAGAAGAGCGATATTAGCTGACCTCCAAAGCCAGGGCCTGAGGCAGCATTTCTCACATTTACCAACCAAACACTGTCCACCTGGTAAAAATTGTTTCCGAAAAAGAGGAAACAATTTTTGGAAAATGCTACTATCATGCACATTAAAGACGCTAATAAGTCCCTACACACCTACATACGTGAACTCACAGAAACACA